TAGCAAAGTCGTAATGTGGACTTTTTACCGCTCGAAAGAGTTCATAAGGATTACTTGGACTAATAAAAGTATTTTTTCCTGAAAGATACTCAAGAGATATGGAGCGAAATGAGACGAGTAAGATTAAACACAATTATAACATTCGGAGTTTGAATAGTGCCTTTCAAACATCTTTGCGACCAAAACGCCGAAAACTGCTTATCAGAAGTCCACTTTTACACAATGTTTGTCTAAAGGTGGCAGCTTTTGATCAACATTTGATAGTGTTTGTCGCAGGTGCAAGCGAAACGCTAGAAGTAAATACTAGTCAGTTTTACTCATCGCCACAAGAAGCAAAACCGGCGTGTTAAGCAGGAAAATGTAAAAAGGGATTTTCCTTGGCAGCTCAATTTTCTTACACAAGTTGCAAAGTGAATAATTATGTTAAATAGAAAAAAGCGCGTTCATATATCACTCCTTTAAAAACGTTGATGCCTTTTTCGCGTCACGTATTAAGATAAGTTTGATGTCGAAGAATAAAAAATTTATAAGCCGTTTTCCAATTTCTAACGGTGGTGTTATATATCGCACTTGTCATGAATTCCCATTTTCAGATTTATCACGAAGACGAATTTGAATGCTCTGACGTGTGCGAATGCGAGATCGGAGAAAAGTTGTCATGTCGAACGATTTGCATCGACAGGATGCCCTGCAAGACGGAATTTGCGTTTTACAATCATGCCGCACCGGCATATCAGGCATTTAGGGGACGATGCCTGTGCTATTCCGGAAGATTCATATGCATGAAACCTTCGCCGACCGATTATTCCTTGCCACATGGGGTTTTTCTTTTCCTCGGCTACAGTGAGGTGGATGAGAGGGAGCTGAACAAAAATCACACCACACATCTAGTGGTGATCCAGGATGTCGTTCGCGTTTTGCAAGCGTTTATAAAGGACGAGGCTGAAAAAGGCAATGGGGTACGAATTCTAATATAAATATTTACAGATCCGATCGCCCCGGTTAGACGGCAGTTTAGAAGCGATGTTATTTTCAGAGTGTTTTCAATATAAATACAGTTTTCCTATTCCACTACAGGAGAAGGTCCCAAAAGAACACCATTAATGCAAATTCAGGACAGCATTGTGAACGAAATGTTCTGAAAACGTTGTCGATGCGAACACTGCAGACAACATTATTTTCTTCACTCTCTCCTTACTTATTGCGCGTTTTTGCTTCCAGAAGCTAAAAAAATATGTCATTGCTTTGTTCAGACGGGCTTCTCAGAAATTCGAAACATTTATACTTCACTATCTCTGGAGAACCAAGCAATTTCAATGTATGTATAGAAAATGTGCTTTTCTAGCTTGCGAAAATATTAATCTAGAATGTTCTACTGACTCTGCACCCGATTTACGTAAGTGGGGATTTTGTGCTCAGAATATCAGAAATGGCAAACAGACGGCGACGACAATGAATTTGTACCTGCCCGAGAAAACCGCCCTAGATTATGTAACTTTTTATATTTTCATACGTTTTCTAACTGTACTAGCGAAAAACGCACTTAAGGATGACAAAATATTAGTCTTCAAATCAGTATCATTTCTAATTCATGGGAGCGATAGCTACCATCTCCAATAAATTTTCAAGCAATAAATTTTCTTCCTAGGTCTGCCAGAAGTTCTACTTCAAATAAATTCCGTGCTTAAGAAATGTTGAAAATTTCAGAATTTTTACAGCATTGTTTCCTCTAACTTCAATTTTAAATAATAGATTACGTGTTTGCGTCTAGTCAGATAATTTTTAGAGTTCCAAGGCAATTCTAACTGGGCTGTTTGAATTTTAGACACTGTGTATTCTCGAGTTCTTTAATGCGACTAGAGAGAATGTCATCATAGTGGGAAAACTGTCGGATGAAGTCGATGTTAGCAAACTGACGCCCATGGAAATACTAGAAAAAGAAAAGGTAAGAAAACTAGCTGGCTGTAGTTGATTACGAGCATATCAGTTCGGATGATGGAAATGTACTGAATATTAAAGAACCCTTGAAATACATTCGGCAAAAAAGCATTTCCTAGTCTGTATCTAGAATTTGTGTAAAACTTGTTTGAATGCAAGTGGTTGACAGTCGAGTAATATATATTTTCGACATTAAAATTTCAAGAAACTTCATAAAAATCTCCTCTAAAATATTCTCAATTTGAAACGCGACGTAAGATTACTTAATGCGAACAATGTTTTCTTACATTTTGTAAAAACATTTACAATATGTATATACATAAACATAATACAATATTTGATTTAATAAACCCCAACTGATCTATTTTGTTGTGTTTCAGGATCAATGTGCCGACCTGATGGAATTGATTGTTGATCGTATCAATAACCGAGATGCGGAATTTTTATCGCACATCCTTCTGTCGATATTCAAAATGGCAGAGATTGAAATCGTTCCGGTAGAAACATCTGGAGCTTTCCATCCAGATGTCAGCCAACTATTTACATTGACTACTTTTCTAACTATTGTCAAAATCATTCAAAACTACCTGACAATTTCGTGACAATGAGACTGATGAATGCATATCACTTAGAAACTAATATTAGTGTGTCTTTGAAACACTTGCTCTAGGTAAAACGTAACCACTTTGTACATATAATTGTTGACTATTATTGTTACTGTTAACATAGACTATATTAGTCACTGACTGTCGTTTCAAAGGCATTGCTCAGACCTTTAGATAAATTTATAAGGAACGTGTTGTTCTTTATTTTATAATTGCTTTTGATGTAGGAATCTGGAAATGTCTTCCTTGGTGTGAGTTTATGGCATCTATACGTGGTTGGACTAAATTGCTGAGTAGCTGTAACTTAGACTGTCGTTCTACGAATTAATTAATAATTGATCTATTGGCAAAATTGCTTCTTCAGTTCACCCTGTTAATGTTGCTCAAATACATCAGACTTTCCCTTTAAAAACCTAATGGAAATCAAATCAGAAACTGTTGCATGCAACGGTTTAATACACCAAAAACATATCTTTCCTAGTGCCTTCCGCTGTTTTAGCGAACATGTCGCTTTTTACAACATTATCTTACAAACGGATAGCCGAGTTATGTTCATACCTATATACTACAGGTAAACGTCGATATTATAGTTTTCAATTAGGTAATTTAGAAGTGTGAGGCTTTTTGCATTTTTATGGGAGTTAACAACTTTTCTTGATAAGAATCGCGCTCGTATCTTCACTTTTTAAACTTCAAGACAGTTAAGCTGCTTTGGAGGCTATTGAAGAGAGAATCTTTTGAAGCCCAACCCTTGTTTAAGAGGTTGAAAGGCATTAAAGTTGGAGTAAGAAAAATACGTTGATTACCAGCCAATTTTGCAATAAAAAGTTTGCAAATTAGTGTAGATTTTACAGTTTTATGTGCACTTTTATCTGAGCAAAGAATCAGCCACGTGAATAATGGCAGGAAGATCTCACATCGTTTCGATTCGCTGTAATTTGCAATTTCGGTCTTTCTAGAAGCAGATTAGTCGCACTAATACCGTAAAAAAATTGCGATATTTTTACTTTTAGTAACAAATAATACACTTTTTTGTAAGTAACAAGCACACAACATAATATAAGCACACATATTAGACTGAAAAATCAATGGCCGCTCGTCACGCACAGTTTTACTTCAAAATATACCGGACACAGTTTTACTTCAAAGCAAGTGTTCTTTTTGCTAAATTTTATATTGTTATGGTTATTTTAGAAATCCTATACTTACATTTTTTTCAGCTGATTGAAATGATTGCATCAGCAAAGTCCGCAAACCCCACATTTTCTTTGTATGAAAGACTGTAAATTGTAGGTTTTTCAACAAAAATATCAACGCAATCCGTGGTAGTAAATTATTTTTTCTCCATCAGTTTACTGTTATCAGAATTCTTTATTGCGAATTCATTTTCTTTAATTTTATAAGCTTAATGCAAAATAGCATCTTTACTTAGAATTAACCGTTCAAACAAAAAACTTAACAATAGTTCAATAAGGTCAAATCTGGACTTTTCAGCGTTCTAGAACATTTGCGCATAAACCAACCGATTGTTATAAAGCCAAACTTCAGACTAATTATGAAAATTTTCGATTCTTTTCCGCAACATTAAGTTTTTGAAAGTTGAAATGGGAGATTACATAAACATTTACAAGTCAGAATTACAAGAAGACTCATAAGCAAACACTTTTCTTGATCTCAAATCAATTCTATTTTAAAAATATTTTTGTCTATAATTTATTTCATAAATACTTGTAGTGTAAATATAAACATACTGTAAAATTAATTTTTGACCACAAAATTGGTATCAAATGTTTGTTACTTGCATCTTCACAATCCATTTCGCTACATGTTTCTTACTTAAACTTTGACGACTTTCACTCTTTTCAGTCCTCCGCAAAGCTTTGCTTGACTAGCTGCCAACATTGAAATACGGATCAATGTAAAAGGCCCCAAAAAACAAACGTAGGAAATTATATAGAGTAGATTAACCCGTCCAATAAATAATATAAATCGACATTTTGTAGTTGGAATGTTCAACTCACCTGAGACGTCTCTTCATTTGAGATCTAATCAATCTAGTAAACATCGTCATAAATTTGTAAATACTAATCTTGTGAGTGATTTAGATAATTGCAAATTTAGTCCAACTTACAAACTAAATCTCACTTAACTAAACAACAAAAAAAAATAAAAAATAACTACTAGAGTACCCCTTGCTTAAGAGAAACAATGTCAAGGCTTACTTGTAACAAATACATATCATCCAATAGCTTTAATGTAAAAACACGGTGTTTATAGTACACGATGCATTGTTTGTTCTAGGAAAAATTTATTGTAAAGATAATTCATTATTTTTTTGCTACTTGACTTTACACTTTTAGATATAGTACCTAGATCTAGCAAACGAATTTTCTGTTGATCAAAATAATAAAGCTTTTCGATTTTGTAATAAGTGATAGTGTTTTATTTGAAAACCCCGTTAAAACAATGTATTTGATTACAGAGGCAGAAAAAGAAGAAAGTTTTGGAAGTGGCGATTGCTGATTCTGTATTTGCACCAATGGAAGTAACTAACTGTTTGTCTTAAACTTTCGTTAACCACTTTTAGGTTTGCATGATTGACAAAAGTATCTAAACCTCAGAATCCAAAACGCATAATTTTGTATATTTTTATGTTTGGGCAAAGTAATGCCATTAGAAAGCGGATATAGCGTAAAACTGTAATCCAGAATTGAATATTTCTGAATTCGCTACAAGATGAGCTCATGGTTTCAAACATGACGCGGCCTGTTTGCTCATATTTCAAGAATAAATTGATCTGAAGCCCTTGTCCACACCACTGCATAGCGAAGTAAATAACATTAACCACGTAAAACATTAGGTAGGCAAAACGCAAAATTTCAACATTATTTGCAGCTTTAGCCGGTTTGCAAATTGGAAAATCGCCTCAAGCATGACGATTTTAAAAACCATTTAAGACACAGGGTTTATTTACTTTCGTTTAATAGAGGATAAAAGTAATTGTTTAGTGAAACATTGAAAAACCTTTGCAATTTTCACACAAATATGCAAAACTGAAAATTACACATTTAAGTACAAGATTCAGATTGGCCTCAAATTTCATATTTGATGCCACTTTTTCGAAAGTGGAGATCTCATTTAAACACCGCTGGATAGAGGGATAGAGAAACAAATAACATGTTTATCGGATGAAGCATCAGTTTTTACATAAAAAGACGCATCAATTGTAGATTAACGCGTTGTCCAAATTGAACATTCAGCTCCAACATGCCGCTTTTCTGCCCATATCTAAACCAGAGCGTGTGTTTGTTAAGCATATGGTAGAGGGTGAAAACATTTGGCAAGTGATATAAGAAAATACGTGAATAATGAATATTATATATTTGGTTGCAAAATGTCTCAGGAACAAAATCGGCTAACTCGTTCACTTTCACACCATTCACATCAAGTGAAAAATCGCGAAGAAAATATCGGCTGTTTCCCACTTCGAGCAAAATCTCAGAATAATTTTCAGTTTTACGGCGGTTTTTGGAAACTTTTTGTTATCGGTTCAAACATCGCACAATTTTTAATCGTATCTCACGAACCATTTGATTTGTCCAACCCAGTCACTAAATGAAATTTGAGCTAAGAAATAGTGGCAGTTTTTGCGCAGAAGAGAAATATGAATATTACAGATATAAATACAAAATACAAAATGGTTTTTTTCTAGTTGAATTTTTCTACGGTCTTAAAAGAATTCTCTGTAAACGCTCAACTATTTCTGTTCAAATCGATACAAGTACATTGAGGATCGTATTAAAATCCAGACCTGATCGTATTTTGGAGAGCTTTTACACCTAGCTAATAAGCAAAATAATTCTTATAAGCAATTTGACTTTAATCGAAAAACCTTAGAGAAATATTGAATGACAATTTTATGAACAGACCTCAAACCTGAAGGAAAACTGATATATATTGAAAACTTTCGAAGCATTATATTGGGCAATCAATTGAAGCAACAGTAAACCTCTTACCTCGCAAACAATCAAATTGTTAATTTGCGCAGAACAAAAAGTTTTCCTAATAGTACAATATTACAAATTTGATAGTAAATATGGAAAAGCCTTGAAAATCGAATTCGTATTTGCTTACTGATCGTAACATAAAACAGCACAATTTTTACAAAAGCCAATCAAAGTCAAGGTTGAGAAATACAGAAAGGCACTTTTTGCCTCTTCTACAGTACTACTTTCCTACTTTGAAATTATGTTTATTGTTTTTTTTTTAATATTGGGCATGCAACCGCAAAGGGTGTATTTAAACAATTGCGAACGCAGTTTGAAGCCAGTTCTTAAGCAAATCTTTGTAGATAATGTCGGTAAGTGAACATTTTTATTGCTACTTTTTATTAAGGAAGTGCAAGCGATTGAATAATTTCCCAACTCGATTTCCAATTGATCCTCCTACGTAAGCAAGTAACGCAATCAGCCACAGGCTTGGTTGATTTTTTAATTAAGAGTCGATTAAATAATTAATTACTATTAGGCAGCCGCTTGCGTAAATTGAACAATTACATTTAAAAAGTCATTTTAAAGTCTCCTTACTCCTAGTTGCGTTTCTTTTGAATGGCACAAAATGTAAAGAAAACGCTTTTATAACAACACATTTTTAAACTATAAATAAGTGCTTGATAACGAGAATAAATTGCATTTTATCTCAATTTATTAAAAAACAATAAAATTACGCGTTTACGATTTTCGCTGATTAAAAAATTTGCTGTTTTATCTTCAAGCCAGACGGTTACGATTTTATAAATGAAGACACGCATCTAATACGTGAATTGAGTCCATTTCTTCGGAGAAAGTTTATCTTGCTGGCGAGCATGCTTTCTATCAACAATAAAGTATTGGTTCAATGTAACGTAAAATCGCAGAGCCGTAGGTTTAATTTTTAATTTATTAAGCAATGGAAAATAATGGTGCGTTTTCGATAAAAGGGGTGAGTTTGTTCATATCAGTTCGTTAGTAAATGCTGCAAAAAGTGAACCAAATTTTCAAGAGCCGCATGCTTTAATGATCAAATTTAAATTTTCTTTTAGAATCCGCAGGTAGCCACTAACATTAAATACGAGATGCGGCACGTTTCGAGAGAAAAACGTGCTCAGATTTTGGGTTGCGGTGACCAAAAAACCTTCCGGGGTTGCACTGTGTGGTTTACGGGACTGTCTGGGGCTGGAAAAACCTCCATATCCTTTGCTTTGGAGGAATTTCTTGTTTCAAATGGCATTCCAGCTTATAGTTTGGACGGAGACAATATGAGAACAGGTAAACAAACTATGCATTTCGGAAACATCTAAAAATCATTGCTCCACGAAAAAAAAAAAAAATGTCTACATGATTCTATTCTGGTTCAGTGAAACTTTGAGAATGCAAAAATCGGTTTACTAACTATTTATTAAAAGTAAGTATTGTGCAAAAAAATAAAATAAATATACTTCAATTAAGCATCCATATTGAATAAAATAAAAATATATACGTTCTATACTTTACTTCATCTATAAATACTGTTGTATTGCAGGTCTTAATAAAAACTTGGGCTTTTCAAAAGAAGACCGAGAAGAAAATGTTCGTCGAATTTTTGAGGTTTCTAAGTTATTTGCCGATGCCGGACACATTTGCCTTTGCAGCTTCGTGTCGCCATTTAAATCGGAAAGAGAAAAAGCTCGAAAATCTCATGAAGAAGGCAATCTTCCATTTTTCGAAGTGTTTGTTGATACACCCATGCAAGTGTGCGAGAAGCGAGATATAAAAGGTAGGAATAGTACACATGAAAAAAGTTTTTTTTAGCACTTAATCGAGCAATTTTATGCAGGTTTATATAAGAAAGCGAGGCAAGGCTTAATTAAAGGATTTACCGGTGTAGATCAGGTATATGAAACACCCGAAAATCCGGACATTGTTATTAAAACAACCAAAAGTTCTATAGATGAGTGCGTTCAGCTAGTTGTGGAAATGCTTTGTGAAAATGTAAGTTCAAATTTATTTATTTATTCACACAATGTTTTAAACGAATTACGGGCCTTAAAGATGGATTTTTTGTTAATTCGTTCTCTATTCAATCTATCTATTTTTATTTATGTTCATATGGTTAATTATTTATCGCGCCAGATAAAACTCAAAGTTAAAAGTGCAATAATTCTTGCAAACGTAATGCCAAAATCAACAAAACACAAATCAGATCACTTTGAGATAGGAAAACGCTTAAAAATACATCGGTTCTTAAAGCTTCATAGTAAAAAATAAACAACCGATACATTTCCAAAAAAATCAACTTGGAATTAACAATTTTGGCATCTTTCTTCGCATTACAGGGAATAATCCCCAAAGATCTGCAATACAGCAACAGCCTTAGCAGCCAAACTACAATTGCAGTAAAAGAACTGTTTGTCTCCAAAGACAAAAGTGAAATTATCAAACTGGAAGCCCATAATTTGCCGAGAATCGATATGACCACTATTGATCTACAATGGCTGCAAGTGTTGAGCGAAGGATGGGCATCTCCTCTATCTGGATTTATGAGAGAAGACGAATATCTTCAGGTGCGTTTTCAAGTACTTAAGAATCAATGTAATTAAACCTCTGCTGCACTGTACAGTAAAAATGATGGCTGATTAATTTCTTAAAAAAAAACACATATAAAGTCATCAAATACAATAAATTTCTTTCAGGTGTTGCATTTCAACACTATAAACTTTGGAGGAACCATCGTGAACCAAAGTATTCCTATTGTTCTACCAATATCAACTTTTGTAAAAGAAACAATAGAAAATCGTGATTCAGTTGCTCTTTATCACAATGACGAGCTCTATGCGGTGTTGAGAAAGCCGGAGATTTATCTGCACAGAAAAGAAGAAAGAGTCGCTAGAGAATTCGGTACTACTAATACAGATCATCCACATATTAAGGTAGGATTTTATTTACCGTTTTTTGACAATGTTTCTCTAAATTGTAGTAGGTACCTATTTTTCGGTGCTTCGTGCCCCTTTTTATTTTTTTTTTATTTCAGTGTTGGAGGCATTTTTATTAGCTAGAAGCATTCACTAGTAAATAATAATTTTTACTTTAAAATACGGGGTGATGCAGAGAAAGTGCATGTTTGGCACTTTGGCATACAATTTAAGTTTATTTTAAGGATACATATACAGGGTGGTCCTCAGTCAATGTGACGAAATTCACCGAAATATTTTGTAGGCAAAAATATTCCGTTGCATACAAATTGTGTCTTAACAACACACACAATGCTCCATCTCATCATCTCCACGTTGCTTTCAACAAATGTCTTATCATAAATATTCATAAAGCATACATTTCGCTCTATCTAATGATCTGTTTTAGCTAATTTACGAATCTGGAGATTGGCTGATTGGAGGAAACTTGGAAGTGATTCGAAGAGTCAGGTGGAATGACGGTTTAGACCAATACCGGCTCACCCCCAAACAATTAAGGGATAAGTTCAAAGCGATGAAATCTGATGCCGTTTTTGCGTTCCAATTGAGAAACCCTATCCACAATGGACATGCTTTGCTCATGACAGACACCAAAAGGTATTATTAGTCATAATCAGCTATGTTATTGCATTTTAATTCATACGTAATTCAGGCAGCTGAAAGAGAAAGGATACAAAAACCCCGTTTTACTGTTAAATCCGCTTGGAGGCTGGACTAAAGACGATGATGTGCCCCTAAACGTTCGAATGGAGCAACACGAAGCTGTACTGGATGATAATGTTTTAGATAAAGAGTCTACTGTATTGGCTATTTTTCCCAGTCCTATGATGTATGCAGGACCAACAGAGGTAAAGATTTTTCGCTTGTTACATAGAGCGAGTCTCAAAAGTAACTGCTTTTTGGTTCCTCTCAAGTTCCTCTCAATTTTTTTTGTGAATGTGATTTTTTATAATTTGGTAATGCAAATGTAAAAATTAACTTTTCAAAAATATTTCTAGGTGCAATGGCACGCAAAAGCTCGCATGGTAGCTGGAGCGAATTTTTACATAGTGGGACGCGATCCAGCTGGTGTCACTCATCCAGAAGGCAAAACTGCCACTCCAGATGGCAACTTATACGATGCCACACATGGAGCTCGCGTTCTTAAGATGGCACCAGGGTTAACGTCGCTGGAAATAATTCCTTTCAGAGTTGCCGCGTATGATACTGGCAAAAAGGCGATGGCCTTCTTCGAGCCCAAAAGGAAAGAGGACTTTGATTTTATTTCCGGCACTAGAATGAGAAGTAAGTGCAAATAATGATGGTTGATCAGGAAGTCAAGATATTGTCTTTCTAGAATATGCTAGAACCGGAGAAGATCCACCAGAGGGTTTTATGGCAACTAAAGCGTGGCGAGTGATTTCTGAATACTATTCTTTGCTGGCAGCACAATCATAAGATAATGTCATGGGGATAAGAAGCCTTCATTTTGCAATTAGTTTTAATGTATATACAGGGTGGTGCTCGATTAATGTGACAACATTTACTGACACATTGGTTCCCCAAAAATTGCTCTTTAGGCAGTTTTTCTTGTCGAGATGTAAGGTGTTTAAGTGTAAATAAAATGTTAATGTTTTATTTAATAGATTCTTAGCCAGTTTTTCTACTACCTACAAAGTGTTTCAAGGTTTTATAGATCGACAGATTCTCATTCTTGTTCTCGATATTTTGGAACAAAAAATGTGTACTTTGTTTGCAAAAACTTTGTTTTAATTTTTATTTCACATTGAAATATCTAGTGATTTTTTGATCATAACGAAACCAGACAAAATGCCTTTTAGGGTCAGTTGGGTGTCAGTCAAGTAGAAAAAGAAGTATTTTCAAATAAAAAAATGAAATATTGACTTACTATATTATGAAATAATAATTTTCAAATATTTTACTGAGTTTAAACAAAATATTAAAGTAATTTTAAACGTGCCTAAGCAAAACTATCTAATATTGGTTAAGTTTTGATTTATTGAAAATTTGAGTTGTTTTGTTCAAAAATTCACTAGAGATTTCAATATGAATTATCTCGAAAACGGTGAGAAGTATCGACTTGAGAGAAGTGCATATTTTTTGTTTAGAAAATATCAGAGAATGAGAATCTGGCAATATTTTAAAATCCAAAAAATGTCTGATGTTTTAAGTTGCTCGAGACAATTTCAGCAAACGCCCTCTTGCTACAAGCTAAGTAGTAGAGAATATGGACTTGTCGATCTAAAAAAAAACCATACAAAATTTGTTTGGTAGAACTGAAACTGGCTCAGAATTCATTAAAAGTGAACAGAAATTTTACCTACGCACCTTTTGTACCTCGGACTCTACTAACTTTCCGATAAGAAAGATTTTGTCTCAACAACAAATCTGTGGGTTTTGTCGCATTAGTTGAGGTCCGCCCTGTAGGTAGAATGCACCAAGGGTTAAAATATTTGTGTTTACATTTAGGGGTCAATAAATATTATGTAAAATACAAATTTTTATATCTCAGTTTGACTAATTTGAGCTGTTGAAGCAACTTACACAAGGATGTGCACCCGATACGAACGTAAATGGGAATCTTTTTAGCTCAATATTCAAACATTAAAATGTTATATTTTTATTTCCAGGAGCATTTGAGTGTTATGTATGGTTGTTTTTTTTTTGTTCAGAATAATAATGTATCCAAAACTGAGTTTTTACGTACTTATTTGATGATTGTTCGAAGAATCTTGAAATTTACAGTAACCTCATAAAGGTCGCTTCTTTTTTCCGGTTCCTCTCTAAAGCAAGTTAAAATAAAAGTTTTTTCGACCATCAGAAGAAAATTATTTTTACCGAGAGATAAACACACGTGTTTATTCTTGTATTTGTTTTATTTCCAACTTCCATTTTTCTCTTCAAAACAAAAATGTGTTTAACAATCGACTTATTGTGCAATTTAATCTGCAATTTTAAATGGTCCAAATTCAGTTGCGTAAAACCAAAAAAATTATCGGCTGTTTTTCACCATTTGTGGTATTACTTTTAATACTTCAGTTTGTTTAAAACAAATTTCAGTTGAAATTAACAGGTTGCTTTGTTTATTTCTCACTTATTCTTTTGTCAGATAGTTGGAATCCAACCACCTTTATAGCATAAAAAGACCTGAAGTTGAAAACGTAAACGTAAAAAATAAATATCCCAAAAAATAATTCGACTTCCACTGATTATTTTGTGAAAAATTCCAGTAGTAAGTACAATTTGTGGATTTTTGTGGAAACCATCTCCAGTGGTTTATCGCATTTATCGCATCAATTAGATAAAGTGTGTTGAGACCAAACGATTTTAGAGCATTGTCGCTTGGGAACATACGAAAATGCAAAAACTTTTTTAAAAACGAAAAAGGCAAATAAATGCAAATTATACAAATTTGGTAGTAGAATAGGAATATTTGAGAGATTGTTTGCTTCTTTAAAAGACCCGAAATTGTGCTAAACTGCATGTTAAATACCATTTAAATCCTAGGCCAAGATGCAAAAGCCAATAAAAAACATTTTTGTTGAACTTCTTGACTCTTCTTGGAAACATATTTATTGTATTCAAACAACTAAAAAATCTGAGCAGTAGCACAACCCTAATTCTAGTTAAAAAATATATTGTTTTATGGTTTTTTCAACCTCCTCTGAAACAATTCAAATTTGGTGCACACAAATCAGTACCATCCAATTTCGTGCACATTTGAAAGATTCTTTCAACAAGACTTTGTGAGAGTTGGTTTTAAACATGAGGATTGGCATTATGGAAACATTCATTTAGCACTTAAAACTTCAACAGCTTGTAAGCAGAGGTGAATTCTGGCTGAACCGTGACCGCCGGCTTTATATAATTAATGATACAAAGATGCCGATAGTCTGTAAACCTTTCATATGGATCCGCACGCTTATTGATAAGATTTAATTGACACAGTGAGTGATTCATCTAATAGTGTTTGCAGGAAATATTGACTGACAATCGAATTTCCACAGAACCGAATAATTCACAAAGCATCCACTTTCACTTGTTGAGTAGATTCATTCAATTCACTACATCAGCTTGAGGGCTTGAGCATATAATATGCGTTTCAGGGCATATTTATATGGCGCTTCAAATCATCAAGCGAATTAAAACGAATATTCTCACATGTGTGTTAATAGACAGTTATTCTAGGTAATTACCTAATATCATCTTTCAGTGACCTTTCATTATGCTATTAAGTTAATTATTTAATCGTAAACACAAATCTAAATTGGCGAAATTTACGACGTACATCAGGCGTTATCGGTTTGTTGGCCATAAACGGATTTTAAATGTTACTAGAGTATGTCAGTTGGGTTGCAGCAGATAAGTAATTGACAAAATTACAAAATTGATATTTAAATAATATTCGCATTACGCACAAAATGTAACAACAGACATAAGTAAACTGCTTAGTAGTCGTTTGAGGATTATTTCACTTCATACGTTTCATCGGTTCTGTGGGTCTTCAGCTAAGCTGTTAATTCGTTAAGATCCTTTCTTTTCTGCTTACTTATAAAATGTTTAATTGCACAATTAGATTATCAAAAGTTGAATTTAGTGAAAAATGCGTATGAAACTAGACTAATAGTAGTTTTTTTTGCAAGTCATGTCAAAATCAAGTAACTTTTTAAAATTTAAGCTTTAAGCTATCCAAAAAAAATTTCCTTGCGTTACTCTGAAACAGTGTGCTAAAAATATTAGCATTGAAGTGTCGTGCCGTGCCGTGCCAAACTTGAACAGCAAAATGCGTTCTTAATTTTAGCGAATTTTAATTACTTTCAAATCAGAAGCTGTCTTGAATAAGCAGAAAATTTTAACAGTTAATAGGATCTTGCAGAAAATTGATGGACGCAACATTTTAATCATTCAAAGCAAACCTTCTAAACAATCTCAATTAAATTTGCAATTGAAACCGCCGATTCATGATCAGATAATTATCAAAAATTGGTCATATTTTAGAGAAATCAGCCGAGCCTCTTCGGCTGATAGCCTTCATGACATCAAGCGCATTTACCACCTGCCCGTAATTACATCGAAAGGTAAACTCTTCTCGTAAGCAAGGTGTGGAGAATCATCCTTATTATTTTTGTTGTAACACATACTTAACTGATGTACCGTGTGGCACACTTTTCTAATCAATCTGAATCGTTCTTAATAACACGGAAAATGTCCGCAATTTCCTTTAGGAAAATTTGACTTATAATTAATGACCGTATTATCTTTAATGACTTAAAAAATATTTCCAGATTAAGTGCGGCTGTTCTGAAAAAAACAGAACATCCGGTGCTATTTTCGGAAATATAAATCTACTCAATATATTTTTAAGTTTTATTATATTTCTCTGAAACAATTTATTTAATTAATGTGAACTGTTTCCAAGTCGGTCTACTTCTGTATTTTATATAAAAATATATTACTTAGGTTTTGTTTTACATTTTCTACTTCTAGAAAATGAGTTTCTTTAAATACAAACTTCAAAAGACTTGTTATAACTCTAGTGAACCACCGCAAGAAAAAAATTAATTTAAGCAAGACCCCATCTGGAATCTGGAAATGTTCTGCAAATGTTCTGCAAATGTTACTCATATGAATGTAATTGATTACATTAAAATAATTTGAATCTCTAGTACAAAAACTATTCAGGCACATTATGTCTTCAAATTGTTCCAGTGCTTACATGGTCATTTGCAATTCTTCCAAGTTTGGTTATATTTGTTTTTATTTTCAAAGCTCTTTAGTTGCTTCTGTATAAGCTGTTTTTATTATCTAAGAAAAATTAATTATTAATACAATATTAAATATAAGAAAACGGAGCAAAAGTTGGGACAAACATTTCGCTGCATTCAATACTATTCAATTTTTGAATTGTAAAAAGGCATCCTAAATTCAACATTATAGGTGTAAATGTGGCCACCCTGTAGACTGTTATATTTTCACTCTGAGGTCATCTAAAGGTATGAAGATATTCCCAGGAAAACGTATGAACTTAAACTCGTGAAATGCGATCATGACATTTATAATCTCGTACACTATCTCGAATAAAATTTATCATCATTTACATCTGAAGGAATTTATGTATATTTCGCCTTATATTGTGTTAGTTGACCATCTAAGCCGTTTAAACATTTAATAAGTCAGCTTACGTTATTTACAACATGAGATGGCATAGACGGTATTAGAAAAGGTCGGGATTTTGCAGGGACAACATAAGAACAGGATATTGCAGCAATAGCGAATAGGTAATCAGATCGGGCTTTCATTGTCTGCATAAAATTTTTAATCACAAGGCTTTTTCAACATTAGCATTTTTTCCATTGATTTGAATAAAGACTGGTGTTTGAAAATTGGTATTCAAATTTTTTATCGATGATTTTAGGCCTCAATTCCTCCAGTATACTGCAAAAGACAAAACATAGTCAGTTTCGTCCTGACAAATTTTCCCACAATTTCCTCCATTTTTCCGGGTTTTTTGCTTTGTTCTCAAGACTCCGGGCGTTATTAATTTGAAGAAAGTAAGTACTTTAGAGTCACTCCTGCGATTGAAAAAAAATCATTCATAAGAAAACTATTGTCTGCGTTACAGCTTGGGAGGTCAAGGCTTGCAAACGATATAATGACTGTAATAACTCCCAACAATTTGTCATCAATGTTCCACTCAATAATATTTGATGAATATTAGTCAATTCATATTAGATGGGGTTTCATGGCGATGAATAATGTATCTGCCACCCTCGCTCTGCATCATTAATCGGCTCATAATTGCACCATGTTTCTGCATTATTCGACAGAACCGTATTAAATATGAAGAATTTCAGAATTTGCTTGTTGTGGTGACTAAGAATCAAAAGGGTGCTTTACGCAAAAAAGCTTAATAAATAGCAGAGTTTGTTTCTGGTCTAAATATATTTTTTTTCAATATGAAAGCAGTTAAACATGAAAAGTTGAGATCCAATATGGCACTTTGCGCTGGTACAAAACAGTGTAATTTTTTAAACAACAGCGGGTTAATTACATTGCATGTCTATTATACATATACATTATACATTCGAGAGTGCCATCAAAATTTGATTACTAAAGCCGGTAATTTAACCGGAGGAATATTCGTAACACTGGAGTGTTTAAGGAAAGTGAGTAGTGATAGCAATGGATCGTTGCAACATTATTAAGTGAGAGAGTGGAACAAAAATTTATGAGAAAATAATTCTTATCAAACTCAAAGTTTTGCCTAAACTTACAAAAATAGTTAGTTTTATAGGCGAAAAAGGTCCATTTCTACTGCAACCATATTGCATCGAATTGCAAGCAAAATAAAAATAGAAACCGCGTTAAAAAGTTGTAGTTGCTTTTTAAAATTAATATTTTTATGAAAAATAATTTAAAAAACCGCTGAATAAATACTACAATAAATGTGTCACCATTTCCTAAACAAACGAGTATTTTTGCACCTTATTTTTATACTTTTTCAATTTATTTTGGTTCTAAACTAAAATTCGATTAAGACTTCGGTTTCTTTAAAAAACGTAACGATTATTTTGATATTCAACCATAGTCCGGGCCTGTGGTTGCAACTGCATTCTTAAACTCATCCTGAAATAAGCAATATGAAAATAACCTTTGATTTAAATATGCAATTGAATAATAATTGACGTTACTATGGGTATGTTCGCCTAAAGAAATGTCTTACAAAATGGTAAAAAGAGATGCCCAACGCACACTATAATATAAATTCCTACTAAACTGCATTTTATGACAGTGTCGTGAACAAACGTTTCCATCATGCACTCAATGGTAAGCTCCTCTATTCTTAGGACTATTTGCTTAAATCCTAAGTTTGGATAAATTTTTTTTTATAGTTGGGGTTTAGAGCTGATGCTACTTTAATAATTTTCAAAAACTCAGTTTTTATACATTTTATGTAATTGTATTTTAATTTTGTGTAATTTTAAATTCAATTTTATACATTTTATTGAGATGAAGAAATGTGTAGAAGATTTTGTGGAAAGAAATTGTGACAGTAACATTTTTTCCAGGCTATCAAAACTTGATTTATTCGAATAGACCTACATCCTAATTCTTCATTAGTTTGCTACCCAAAATAAAGCCGAAAGGTCCTGAAGATTTTTCCTACAGGCCAAATTATGGCCTGTATGAATAATTGTGAAAAGTGACTATTATATAAAAGTCTTCCAAACTATTTAAGATATTCAATCGGATTAATAGTAACAAGTATTGTACAATTTCATACGGTGTGGTATAAATTGATATTTATTTATATTTTTTTCTTCTTTCAGTTATTCGCTTTTGTCACAATTATTTGTGCAGTTTCCGCGCAACGTCCCTACAGGCCGGTAGCAGCAATTCCGCAAAGTCCGGGGCAAATAGTTAGAATTTTGAGTCAGACGAATGATGTTGGAATTGATGGTTCATATCGTTGGAGGTAACAATTAAGTTAAAATTTGAACTGGAAAAGAAAATGTCGGGTTTAATTTTTATGAAATCGTTTTGGATTTTCGAAAAGTTTCTCGTGCAAATAAGAGATACTCAAGTGCCGTTTGTTGCTTCTCCTTCTTCGCAGCTTTCAAAGAATCTTCGGCATTCATTTTTTGCTCAAAAAACTATAAGTACGATTCCTGGATCTGCTGAAAGTCGTTTTTTTCTTCCTTGTGAATAAGTGAAATGCAAAAATTCAACGGATAAATTACTGGTTAAGAAAAATTAAGTGGAAATTAAGTAAAGGAACTGTTTTAGTTTGTGGGAAAAAACATAATGAGAAACTACAAAGACAAAGAGTTAAACTTTTTTTCAACTGGAAAATCAGTTATTTTTAACAATAGAAAAATAGATAGAAAATGTTAAAAAATATATGCAGTTTCATTATCTAACTTCTAAAGACACTAAATTTCCATTTTTTTCTTTTGCATTACAAGCAACTTTATAAGTGTTTGTCCATTATTTTCATTAGTTTAATTAGTTAAAAAGCTATTTAATTACATTGCTTAGAAATTGATTGACACGTGAAGGTCATTTCAATAAATCATGAATAATTAGCAAAACCTTAAACAATAGCTTGTCGTGCTGCTATATTAATTGTATATTATTAATCAAAATCATAAATGTTTTCAATGTTTTAATTTAACTTTAATAGTTTTAAGCAAAAGCGTCCAAACCAAAGAGCGCGGATATTGTTGATGACTAGTGATACTTAATTTGTTATTTAAATTTGGCGTACAAACTTACCAAAAACACCGATTCTGTGGAAGATTAGTTTTAATTACAGTGATCTAATTTGTTTAGTTTTGAAGCTGAAAATGGAATAGCCGCCCAGGAAAGTGGTCAATTAAAGAATGCAAATTCCCAAGATCCGATTGAAGAAGCTCAAGGGTCATTTCAATATACGGCACCCGACGGGACACCAATCCAATTGCAATACATTGCAAATGAAGGCGGATTTCAACCATCAGGTATAATAAATAATGCCATTTAAGTTTGAGTGTTTTATAAAGACCAGACGCCTTCATTACTGCCTTATTGGCGAAAATTTAGCAAGCTTTTTAATCGATTGAACCACCATATATTTTTTATACCTACTCCGCTTACAAATATGAGCTGATCCTTATTCAGACCCTTAACATGCTTGAAAGTATTTTTGTGCTCTTTTTAAACATACTTTTTAATGTATTAAGCTTCATAAACTGGTTTTTGGCATTAAATAATTGTGAGTATATGAATTGTTTGATTTTTAGGTGCACATTTGCCTGTCGCGCCCCCAATTCCTCCAGAAATTCTGAAATCTCTCGAATGGAATGCGGCTCATCCAGAAGAAGACGATGGCAATACTCGTCCAGGAGCCGGATACAGAGGATGATTACTGGGATAACAACTGTATATTATGAATTGTAAAATATGTAATATTTTATGTGATTTAAATATGTAATAGTGTCAATATTTAATATATTTTGCATACAAACTAGCTTATTGTATTGTACTTTGATATGTTTTTCCAAACATCAGTTGCGTATACAAAAAGTTTTTGATACCAACTTTATTCCCGCTGTTATTGAACGCGAATCTAGTTCAATACTAAGAAAATTTATCGTGGAAAAATTTCTAGGTAATGATTTGTTGCTTTTCTGATTAATTAGCCCAGAACAGAACAAAAGTAAAAAATATAATATAACGCTCTGAAATTTTTGTGAAACGCAGAAATATTTCAAATTTTAGAAGCAAATGTTACATATAGACATATAGAGCGTTATATAAGGATTTAAATAAAAATTATGTGTGATGAAATGATTATGCTTCGAAATTTTTGCAGACATTTATATTTATCAAATTGTTCCGCATACGATTATTCCGGACAATTTTCGCCTGTAGCATCTTGAATATTGCACTTATCATCCAGTTTTTTCAGTTTCTAATTCAATATATCATCACACTCTTTGATCAATTTATCGGCGTCATTGCCTAATGTTTCGTTCGCCGTTGTTTTAAATTTCCACAATTTTTTAGCAATTTTTATGGTTTCTTGGCTTTGCACTCGATTTCATTATTAGTTCTTTTACTCCGCTTAGTTTTTAATGTAAGTGTCTTTCTTTTGATTTTATGTTAGATCTATCAGTAAAAATATGTTTTATAGCTCTGCTGATTTTACGATTTGCTTCCTCGTTGAAAAATGTTTCGAATTTTTCAAAGAAAATTCGGGTCAAACGAGTGTTACCGCTTTTCCTTCTTCATGTTTGGAGGAAATTTCACATGTTCACCAATGCAAAATTGTTTACTTTTATAGTTTAACACATTGTTCATATTTTTCCACTTGAAAACCATTTCAAAAATGTATTTTTTTCCTAAACAGCTCTTCTTATAGCGACTGATGAAATTGTTTAATTACTCATCTGTTTTGCTTATAGACGAACATGAACCAAGCAAAAATATCAAATCTAAGCTTAGAATTCTGAAACCTTATCGAATGGATCACAGTTAAACAATAAAACAGTTTTTTAAGTATGATGTAATGTCATAAAAAATATTTATTGTGATTTGACCTCTTAGATTATAACATCTGTAACTGAAACCTTCGCCATATTAGGGAGGTGTATAAATTAAATTCGCCAGTTTTTAGCTGCATATTTAACTTTCACAAATTAAACTGTATTATTTTGTATATCACTTTTTCGTTTCGACACTATTTTTATTTTAAATCACTTCACTTGCCTGAATAATGTAACAGGAAAAATTATTTCGCATGTAGAAACTTGCAATTAGATAATGTACGTTATTTCTATACAGTACACTACCAATTTATATTCTAAGCTCTGCATAATTAAAAATAAATAAAGTGTATTTGACGAACATAAATATTCCAAAAAATAATGGGGCGCTATTTTCCGTACGCCAAAATGACCAGAAATTATTCAATCTGCCCAATTTAATCTACTCATGGGCTAAGAATAATCGCTAATCTTTCACATCTTTTTCCATATAAAGAAAAACCAGAATTCTCTCCAATTCCTGGAAAGCACATATATATGTATATTTTGATAAAATTTGCCAGATTTTACTCAAAATTTAATATAATTTAGATTATCAATAAACAAGTTTCGGGGTCCAATTTAGGCGACAACCTTGTATTATTTCTTATGTATGGACTGTGTAAATTTTTTCAGAATTTAATTTCTGTAGTTGCAAAAAAATGCAACTGAAGGAGAATTTTTCACATTTTAGAGTTAACGAACTAACAAAAAAAAACATTTATTGAATGGCAAAAATACCGAGATTTCCAGAGAACCAAAATTTAAAAAGTTAAACAGACTTTCTTCAACTTAAAATAATTTTGACGCACTGTATATTAGAAAAATATAGATAAGTTTTTTTGTAACAAAAAATCACTCAAAATGCCTCAAATTCTATGTTATTTCAAGGCACAGCAAAGAAGAATCCACCGCGCTTAGAAATAGACATGAGAAATCGTATACCTCTAGAAATTTTGGGGGGTTTTAGAGCGGTTGTGATCTTTAATCGGCGATATCTACTCTAATATCAATATTTGCTCAATATATGAATATATTGAGGAGATTATTAGATTGCAAACTTCAGCTCAAGAAAAGCACACGAAAATCTTGAATTTTCGAATAAATCTTTTTAAAAGTATGAATTTAAAATTTTGGAAAAAATTCAAATTTCTCATAATCCCTCAAAAGCTGTACCATTTTTCATTGTATTGAAGGGAACAATCCAGCGCTCTCACAAATACACCCGCTAGACACCTCAGAGACAAAACAACCGAAAATTATGCCTCATTTTGAGATTTTCCCAGTTTCTGATCTCAAAATAAAATGCATACATTATTGTTTGTCGTCTTGTAGAAAATTCAACTCTATATTTACTTCGGAGATTCATTCACAAAAATAATTAAGTATATCGGATAGAAGACTTTATGTTTGCTATGTTGCAGCATTAAAACCTGGTTTAGCAAGTTTAATTCATTGTGGAATGATAATTGATGCAATAGACTTATTAACCTTTTCATCTTAATTATTTTCTTTCGTTGAATAAATTGTCAATTACTAATTGCATCTTCAAGGTTTGACTCCATTTCTTTCTCCGAAATTGAATGATATATTTGATAATCAATTGAACAAGGTTTCATCAATTTTTCTTGTTCCGAATTGTAATTTTCGTAAAAAGTTCATGTTGAATTGAGCGTAATTGTGGTTACTTTTTTTAAATCCATAGAACTTTTGTCATTTTTTATTATACATTTTTGAATGAATTAACTCATACACAATACTGTAACCGCTGATTGAACATGTGTTGAAATCCAAGTAAAAACTTTATTTTTATAAAAGATGGTAGGGCGTTAAAGAGTTTTAAACATTTTTAAACATGCGTCTCTCATGTCTTGATAACACATTTTGATTAAATAAACGAGTCCTTTTATGTAAAATGTTGCCCTCATTTAGAACAGAAAACGAATCGGCAGTTAAAGCAAATAAAATCGGAACTGTGAGGAAATTAAGTTCAATAAGGTTAATTTTTTCTTTTCTATTCCTACTTAGGTTTACTGCATCAGTATTAGACGAAAATGTGTAAGAACGTATTCGGTGTGTGTCTAAATTCAAAATTCAGCCCCAGTACTAAAAAAGAAATGGAAAATATTGATAACCAAAACAACACAAGAATAATTATTTTTTGGGATTGTTGGAAATAATATGAGAACTGTCTTAGTTGATTTATATATTTTACTATCCAAAGATGTATTGGGGGTTTTTTCCAACTGAGATGCGATATGTGCGTATAAATTGCATATTTGCAAAAATATTAAGTTAAATCTCGAAAATTGAAAGTAAACACTTAATGGACAGAATTAAGAGAACAGCATTAAAAGTAAAATAATACCGCATAGAGAAGAGTGCTGAAACAGAATTCTCAATCTGAATTCAGCGAATCTCGAGGGCTCCTGTCATATACTTAGTTTGATGTATTTATCAAACCGGTGTCTATCTTATTTAAAGTTGCAGTTTAATTCAAAACTATAATTTTTTAAATAAAATTTCTGATTTCTGACCATAGTGACCATCGTGAAGCGAATTAATTGATAATTGGTGCACTTATTGAATAACGCTGACGCACATTGAGAAAAACCGATCATCTCATTTCAAGTGCAGGTTGAAGAAGAAAAAAAACATTGTGGTCCAAGTCTAATCATCAAAAGTAACAGAATTAATGAAATTCCCCGTACTTTCAGATTTTTATTAATCACGTTTACATCAAAGAAAATGGAATTCTCAGAATTTCAGCTGTTTAGGTTTGTTTGGGTTAGTTTGGGTTAGTTTGGGTTAGTTTGGGTTAGAGTTTTTGGCTAAAACCAAATAAGTAGAGGAAAATTGAGCATCAATGAGTGAATGACAACAGATGAAATGCCGCAAAAACCTGCCTTAACCGATAAAACATAAACAAAATCAACAAGATATAGATAAAAGTGAACAAAAAACCCTCCATATTAATTGAAACAATAAAATTTATATCAGCCCATAAATATTCATAATTAACACAAAATCATCCAAATTATTTGACAGCGTTTACTACAGCTCTTCATAAACAATTTTTTTATCTGCATCATAATTACAACCCCTGTCACCCCTGCCTATTCGAGCTATTAATAAGTAAATGACCTTAGTTAAATAAACCATTTGTCCAATAACAGTTTTATAAGAGTACATTATACGTTTATTTAAATAGACAGTAACAAGGGCGATAATTAATGAGTACTCACTGGGCCGCGCCCATGGGCGGTCTCACGTAAGCTCCAACCCACTGGTAACCCAGCGTTGGTAACAGTTTGTGCGTGATGTGAAGGCTTGTCGTTTGTACCTACTGTTTTCTATTTGTTATCGATTCTTCGCGGTTGATTCCGATTGTCATTTGATTCGAATTTCAAATGTCTCCTCGATGTAGCGGACACGATTGGTCGTGATTTTCAGCGGACAATTCGGAACGGATATTATGCCTTTCAAAATTATTCACATTCACTAATTGTAAGTTGATTTACAAATTGCCATTTGTTACTATCACCATTGTTCGTTTGATGCGTTCGAATTTGAATAGCATTATTCATTTCCGAGCTTCGAAAGAAAAAACACCAACAATCAGAGTTGCTAATTGGGTCTTGGTGTTGGGCTTCAAAGTTTCTGTACTGTTAAAAAAAGTGATACCAAAACTAACAAAAGTTGGTTCTAAGTGACTAACTTTTAATAATCCTTAATGGTTATTTACAATGTATTATTTTTCGTCAAACTGGAATGAGCAATTTTTAATAGTTCAGCTTAATGTGAGGATGGGGCAAATTTTATCTTTGGTTTACCTCCATTTATGGTTTTCTTTTAAGGTTTAAAGGCATCTAAAATATTCACCTTTTTTATATTCTAATAAACTTTACGAATAAAAATGTCAGGATCCTTCTTCTGCTGGCTT